GATGTGTGGAAGGGTGCCCATTCAGGTTATATGAAAGCTGGGATAGTAGAAGAGCATGTTTTGTGGTAAAAAGTGTGATAGGAGATCACACTTGCAATAGAAACATGAAAAAGAATAGGGAGTTGAAGGCTCCTTGGGTAGCAGTTCAGTTTCTGGAAGTTTTCAAATCAAGACCTCATTGGCCTGCAAAAGAAACAATGGAAACAATAAGGAGAGCTTACAAGGTGTTAGTGAAGAGGGATTTTGTGTACAAAGTTAAGTACCACGCCCATAGAAAGCTTCATGGCAGCATGAGAGAGCACTACAACAAGATTGGGAGATATTTGGAAGCCCTAATTCAAGCAAACCCCCTCAGCCACTTCAAACTATTCACTGACCCAATGATCAAGACTTTTCCCCCAACCTTCCAGAGATTCTTTGTGTGCTTTAAAGGGCTTAAAGATGGGTGGTTGAGTGGAGGCAGGAATGTATTGTGTGTGGATGGTTGTTTCATAAAAACCTTTCTAGGTGGGATGTTGTTATCTGCTATTGGGAGAGACTCGAATGACCAAATGTATCATGTGGCTTGGGCTGTAGTGGAAGGTGAAAATAACTCTAATTGGGAATGGTTTTTTTCTGAACTGAAAAAGAACTTAGGCACTACAGATGATGCTGATCTCACATTTATATCAGATGAACACCAGGTGTAGTTATGTGTGTGTATGTTTTTTTATATATGTAATAGTTGTTTTTCAGAATTGTGGTGTTGTTTATATGTCAATGCTTACCTTAAAATTGGCTTCTGACAGTCTATATTGTGAGGAGTGGCAAAGGTATTTCCCTTGGCAGAGCACAGGCACTGTGCCAGGCATGTCTTTGCTAACTGGCACAAAACTCACAAAGGAGATGAGCTGAAAATGTTGTTCTGGAAGGCTGCTAAGGCATATAATGAGGCTGATTTGGAGGAAGCTTTGGATGAAATGCACAAGGTCAATCCTGTTGCAGTGAGTTCCTTTAGGTCATCTAACCCAAATGTATTTTGCAGAGCATATGTTAGGACAACAAGTAAATGTGATGTTATAGTTAGTAATATGGCATAAACCTTTAATGGTTACATAATAAATGCTAGAGCAAAACACTTGATTTTTATGCTAGAAGACATTAGAGGTGCTTTGATGCAAAGGATGATTGTAAAAAGGCAGTTAATGGAGAAGAACTTGTGTGTCATATGTCCTAGAATTAAGGCTAGGTTAGAGAAAGAAAAGGATGAGGCAGCTTATTGTACCCCTATGCCATCAAGTGATGTGTTATTTGAAGTGTGTCACAGGCTAGACGGTGTGACAGTTAACTTAGAAGCTAAAACATGCACATGTAGGAAGTGGGATCTAAGTGGAATACCTTGTTGTCATGCTATTGCTTTCATTTTCTTTATTAATGATGCCCCTGAGAAATATGTGCATGAGTGCTACACTAAGGAGGTCTACCTGAAGATGTACTCAAGTGGTATTGCACCTCTGACTGGTGAGAGACACTGGCCAAAGATAGATATGCATTTAGACCCTGCACCAATTAAGATTGGTCCAGGCAGACCTAAGAAAAATAGGATGAAATCACCACATGAGAATCCTAAAAAGCCTGGAAAGTTAACCAAACATGGTGTTGAGATGTCATGTACAGTGTGTAAGTCCAACGAGCATAATAAGAGAAAATTCCCTAACAAGAACAATGCAGTTGAGCCTCCTGCAAAGAGGAGTAGGGGAAGACCAAAAAAAGTTGCCCAACCTCCCCAACCAGATACAAACTCTAATCAACACATTGCACGACCTTCAAGGCTTGGGAGGGGAGGAAGACTAATACATGGAAGGGGTGGTACCACAACGGGCAAAGGGAGAGGGAGAGGTACAAGAGGAAGAGGAAGGGGTGACATTCCTGTTGGATTTGGAGTCATAATAGATGAGCAGGGAACCACTTGGACTAATGTAAGTCCATACATGGATCTTATTTACACTTTACATTGTTCAGGTAGTGTGTTGTTTACATATTTTGTACCTGATAGTTTCATGTGTTTGTTTACAGTCACCAGGTCAGCATGTGGGCCAACAAATATATCTGAGGCTTCTGTAGAAGGAGGGTCTTTCTATCCTATCTGATATGATGAAAGGGCTTATGCAAACAAGTGATGTGAAGACTTGTGTTTCGGTTATTTAATGTGTGTGAACATGTAGTGAAATGGGTTTATGTAATGCCCTTAGTTTGTTGTTGTATTGATGTATTATCAACTCTAGCAGAACTTGTTGTGGCTTTAGCTTTGTTGTTTAATATTTGGAACCAACTGCTTTGAATTGTAACATTTCCTAAGTTGTGTACTAGTTTGATGTTATGACATGTGTTTGGTTTAGGGGTGCAAACGAGCCAAGCCGTTCGTGAGCCGCTCGTGGATCGCTCGGAAAAAGCTCGACTCGAGTTCGGTCATATCCATGTTCAGCTCGAGTTCGGCTCGACTCGTTTACTAAACAAGCTCGGGTCAAGCCTCTTTATTTTAGGCTCGTGATTCGCGAGCCGGCTCGCGAGCTTTGATGTATGTGTATATAGATATATTATGTATAATTACACACACACACACACACACACACACACATATATATATATATATATATATATATATATATATATTGGAATAGTTATTCTAATTTAGGATTACTCTACTTTTAATACTTACGGAGTATTATATTATAATAGAAATAATTTAGGAAAAATTGAAAATAATAATCCCAACTATTGCCGGTCCGCTAACAATAATCCCAACTATTGATTATTTTTGTATAATCTTAATTATATGGACCGTCCGCCAATAATGGTTCATGACCGCATATTACCTGCTCTAACAAGTGCATTTTTAATAGAAATTAAGCGTAAAAAATAAAATTTGGGATTATTTATAGGGATTACCTGTTATATCTCTTTAGAAACTATATGAATTTATTTATAGTAGGTCACGTCGGACCATTATTGGTGGAAGATCCCTAAAGTTGGGATTATTCTGAAATAATTGATAGTTGGGATTATTATGAGCGGACCGCTAATAGTTGGGATTATTACAATCAATTTTTCCAATAATTTAATATAACATTATTTATTACGGAGTATTTATAACCATTATCTATGATAATTGTAATAATCTATAATCGGTATTAGTTTTTTTATTTTCTCACTGGAAATAAGGTTAAAAATAATTTGTCATCAACATTCACACAAACGTGGGAGTAGATGAGGTGGAATTTGCATGGTAAACATTTACTAAAAATTTGAGTTCAAATCGCTTGAGTGGTAGGCTTTTGTACTCCATAGGTTACTCCATTTTTTTTAATTTCTAGCTCTTTTACTTCCCACACCGGAAAGTGAGGAGTTGTTTGCTCTCACATCCATCTATAAACCACCTCATCTCCATGGGATTTATGCAGCACCAAGCGAGCCGAGCGCCCACACATGCTCAAAGGTTTCAACAAAAGCCTAAGCTTTCGAGTCGATCTCGAGCGGCTCGCGAGCTCAAAAAGTTTTCGAGCCGAACTCGAGTTTCAATATTTAAGCTCGATCGAGCTCGAGCCGAACTTGAACATGTAAAATATTTTCGAGCTCGAGCTCGAGCATATGTGAGTTCGAGCTCGGCTCGGCTCGTTTACACCCCTAGTTTGGTTCAATGAACCAATGTTTCTCTTATACTACATCACATTGTTTTCATGAAAATTGGTCCCTCTTATTTCCAACTTAAAGTGTTCAAGTAAATCAGCTGGTCATAACCTTTCAAACGTTTGATGTTACTGGTTTGATGTACTGGTTTGATGTTATAACATTGTTTTCATGAATTCATGAGTCAATCAGTTGTCCAACCTTCACTGTGTTTCATATGACCAACCTTCATTGTTAGTTCACTGCTATTTGTATGATTTATACACTAAGTTAATATTAACACAAAGAGTAAGTTAGTATTATTATACTGCTTTAAACCAAGTGCAACAACAACATAATATTAACACAAACACTAACTTTATTGTTGTACATTCAGCCAAATTACCAAATGCAAGTACACATACATGAACCAGCTGGCCAAAACCATGACATACAAATACCAAACTTCAAACTACCACACTCCAAACAACACACTCCTACTCTACCAAACTACTTTGAATACAACACAAAAGAAAACCACGTCCATGACAGCACAAGCGTAATGAATGCAAATTTGTTTGTCTTTGTATGCTTCACAATCAGTATTTGCATTTCAATATTTTTAGCTTCAAGCACTTCTTTCTTAACTTTCAGTCTATTAATCTTCTCCTGTAAAGTCGTTTTGTCCTTCAGAAGCTGCTCCACCAAGATTTCCTTATCATTTAAGTTCTCTTCTTTGCAAACATGAATACCATCAATCCATTGGAAGTAAGAACAATCCTATTTCTGTAAACCAGCGAGTCAAAAAATCAACAATACTCTTAACAATCAGTTTGTAATGCACTACAATATATTCAAGAACTCACCGGCCATAACACACACCCATAGAACTGTTTGCCTTTGTTTGGACCACTTTTGACCACTCTAGGTGTAGAACAAATATTGTGCTTGCACCGAACTGTAAATCCACTGCTTCCAGCCTTTCCTCCCCCACATGATGACCCAATAGTCGAGCTCATTTGTAGGATGTCAAATTTTCTGGCCAACGAACAACTGCTGATCGGAAATTGGCCGGAGGTTGGTGTGCGACCTAAATCTGGGCAACGAGAATAAGTGTTTGGGGAAAAGGGGAGGAGTTGTACTTTATTTAATACACACGTGAGGTGCACGTGTTTGAAGTTACCTGTTACAACATATTAAAGCCGGTCAGGGTGCATTATTGGAAAAGGGGAACCCAAGTTGAGAGTACAAAGAAATAATCAAAATTAGGGATTATTAAAAACCGACCGTTTATAGTTGAGATTAATAATATCTAATTTTCCAACGAACAAAACCAGCAAATTTCAAGATAACACGTATAAATAGGTTATCCATCTCCCTTGAGAAATATCTTCTCATCCGTCTTTCTATGGCCCTAGTCTTCTCTATCGTAAATTGGCTAACGACAATTACCTTGGATTTGGAACCCAGCCATCGCGGAGGAAACATGTAAATTTCTCGCTTCTCGTTTGTAAAATTCTCTTACTAAATTTCTTTTTCTAATTTTGAGGATGAATGTAAAGGAGACATTCGGTGAATCGTCCGCCTACGCCGGACGAACAAGAAAAGGAACCTTCGCTTCAAGATCTCATCAACCTCAAGGTTAGTTCTTATTGCCACTATAGTCACACATTTCAGAGTGATTGTTTTTTGGCCTTCAATAAAAGTTGTTGGCTGCTTTCTTGGTTAACTGAACCAATCTCATCATTTCCTTTAGTTGGTTGAGAGTGGGGAAAAGGAACGCTTGATGGAGCTTCTGAGAGAGAGGCTAGTTGAATGTGGATGGAAGAATGAAATGCTATCTCTTTGTAGGTGCTGTGACGTCTCACCTACTGGTTGTTTATTAATGGAATATGCAAACTGTTTCCAACTTTCAACTTTAGATGTTATTCTAAACTAAAAATCTATGAGGTTAAGCTTTTCGTTGGACGCATTGGGATCCCATTGATGAACCTCAAACCCCTAAAATTGAGAACTTACAACAGTTTTTTCAACCCAAAGTATTTTCAAAACCAAATCACATCAACAAAACACAATGTTTTCATTTTATGAAGTGGGTTCCCTAATCTCTTACCCAAACACATGGTTTGCTTTTGGCTCCACTTGTTGCTTAATCCGCCTTTTATGCTTCGTACCTTGAAAATCAAGTACAAACATCCTATGTTGAGTGACAACTCTCACCTGCGATAACCTTACTATCAGTGTAGCTAATTCTCCGAGTAATTCGTACTAAGAAGTAGTCAATTCGAATACTATTAGCTCCACTTCTATAAGTCATAAAGTGAGTCTATTTTCTTGAACCAAGCGTTTATTATAGTCAAATCATATGTCGAGGAAAAATCCAAAGTGTTCTTCCCCGCTTCATTTCTAGTGTCAAAACCATGTCTGCCATGGATACTCTCAAAAACATCACAACTTAGGGCCACATGACCATTGAGGTCGCCTCAGATGATCAGCTTCTCTCCCCTTAACACTCGTCGTACAACTTCCTCCAGGTTTTCCCAAAATTTTTGAGTGATAATTGCATCCAATCCTACTTACGGTGCATAGGTACTTACTGCGGATATGATCTCACCCGTATCACCAATTTAGTGCTCATGATGCGACTGTTCTTCCTAAGCACTTCCACCACACCCTCAGTATAATCACGCGCCACAATAATGCCTACTCTATTTATGGTCTTTTGTCTCCCTGAATACTACAACATAAAACTCCTGAGGCTAATCTCACGTGCCTTTTCTCTAACTCATTTAGTTCTTGTACACATAATGCTGATATTCTCCTCAGTTTCAATTACCTCAAATGATCTTCCTGTAAGAGCCAACTTTCCACGTACCAACGTGCAATATAACACCCCGTCTTCTATTATTTTTTTGTCAATTTTAGTCCTGAAAGACACTTTTGGTATTTAGCTTTGAAAATTTCCATATTTAGTCCCCCCACTTTCATTAAAGTGACACTTTTGATTCTTCAATTATTATAATAGTGACATTTTTAGTCCTCTGTTTTTTGATAATACTCAGGGAATTAAATGTGAAACTTTAAAGTAGATGACTAAAAGTGGCTCTCGCATAGAGCTGTCAAACGGGCCAACCCGACCCAACCCGACCCGACCCGTGACGGGTTATGGTCTATGTGGGTTGGGTCGGGCCAACCCGTTTAATGACGGGCCAGAAATTCTACAACCCTAACCCGACCCACCTAACCCGTGGGTTAAACGGGTTGGCCCGCGGGCCAATATGTAAAAAAAATATATAACAAAAAAAATAAAAATAATTACCTGGAAGTATATATTTATATTAGTAAGTAGTAACAAAGGAAATATAAGAAATCCAAATACTAAAAATTCAATACTTGTTAAGTTTAATTAAAAAATATTAAATACTAGTTATACAAGAATTTGAAAACTATAAGAGGTTATGCGACAAAAATACTCATTGTATAAAATAAAGATCTACATAACCTTTTGATTAATTATTTGTAAATAATGACTACTAATTGTTCAATATTGTATCGAACTTCACATAAAATATATGTTTCAACATTTTATTTGAAAATTTAATATAGAAATAAATATTGGTTTGTCATGGTTGTAATTTTTATTCGTAATTATAATAATATTGGTAGTAAAAGGACAATATTTAAGATAATAAAATTTAAAACTATATTTTTGTATATTGGCCCGCGGGCCAACCCACTTAAACCCACAACCCGCGTGGGTTGACCCGTGAAACCCGCGAACTAAATGGGTCAGAAATTCGCAACCCTAACCCACCAATAAATGGGTTTAAACGGGCCAGCCCGTGGGTTTCGGCCCATTTTGACGGCTCTACTCTCGCATAATAGTCAAAGGACCAAAAATGGAAAAGTCGAAAGTTGAGTACCAAAAGTGCCACTGACACAATAGTCGGGGGTCTGAAAGTGGCTAATACACCGTTTTCTATTCTTTGTACCACATTGACCCCATCATGCCCTTGCATATTTGACACCAAACCCGAACATTGGAGTGACGCGTCGTTTCCAGGTGACGACCTAACAACCTTAGGATTCTTATCACCACACCCGCCTATGAAGTGTCGCGCGCCCTTGCATATTTGACACCACCCCAAGGCGAAGCGATGATGCATCCCTTATCGGTGACGACTTTTCTGTAGCGATGTTCATATTTCGATTCATGTCAAGTGATGTGATTAGGTGATATTGTTGGCCATCATGCGTCTACCACCACACCCTCCTTTATCCTGCTTGGGAGTGACATTATACAAAAATGATCTCATGGTGGAGTTGGATGGTAGTATGTAGTATGTAGTGAATGTAGTTTACATTTTTTCATCTTACATTCATCCCTAAAAAGAGTCATGTTTGACCTATGAACAACTTTTTACTTTGGGGACACTGCAACTATCATAGTTTGTGGATCATACCTCTTATATAGGTAGTATATATTTATTTTTAATTGGTGGTTTAACTAAATTTATCATTACTTGAACTTTTAAACCAAGGGAGTATCGTTTGGTGGTCTGTGGATATCTATTGTCCATTTGTCCTGTATGACGTCACTTTTCATTTTTGCATCCTGATGTTAGTTGACCTCTATATGTGTTCTAAGCTTAAAGCTTTTCCATCTACTCTCTGTGATTTCCACTCATTCTGGTTTTTGTGTAATGTCATGAATTTATCTTTAGGGGCTTTATAAAGAAGAATGGTCGGAACAGTGTCACCCTCGATGATCTAATTCAATTAATTACCCCAAAAGGAAGATGTAAGGATGTCCATTTTATCATCCCAAAAGGAAGTATAATGTTATATATTTAGCTGAATATGCATGTGGGTATTTTTTTCTTCTGATGGTAGGGTTTTTACTTTTTGTCATTGTAATTTGATTTCTGAACTTTCCAATGACCAAGCGACCCTATAGTATACACTGTAGTCTGTAGAATTCACTGATAATTGTGACCGCTCTAAGAAGTTTAGAGCCTGGAATTCAGTACAAAATTCTAATTTTAACAGAGGAGTGAATTCTAATTGATCTTAGGGAAAAATACGGAAAGAGGTACTTGTGGTTGGGCCCATTTTCACATAGTGTCATGTCTTTCATGTTTTATCAAAGTGGTTCATGTGTTTGAATTCTGTTATCTGAGGAAGGTGGTTAATAGTAACTACGATTTCCAAATGTGCCTGGAAAATTAAAAGAAAAATACCGGAAGGTGCGCCTCGTCAAGATGACCTCCAAACCACCTTTTCCTTTGGATTTTTCGGACCTGGTTAGATTATTTTTAAAAAATGAATTTGCTAATATCACTTTCTCAGTGGATGTTTTGGTGACAAGGGTGGCTAAAAACAAAAAAGAAAGATGGCCTAGCGGTCGTCTTGTTGAGACGCACCTTCCTGTATTTTTCTTTTAATTTTCCGCGTACTTTTGAAAATCGGATTTACTGTTCACCGTCTTCCTTCGACTTTTTTAACGGCGTCAGGACCTTGTTGTGATAATAGAATCCAAACACATTAACACATGAACCACTTTGATAACAAATGAAGCACATGAGCCTATCTGAAAACGAGCTCAACCGTAAGTACGTTTTTTGTACTTTTCCCTTGATCTTAACAATCAAAGAAACAACATTTTGGTTATGGGATTGCAGTTCTTATAGGGAGAGTATCCATAGTTCCAATATTAACCGATTTTATTGTAAACACTTCTGAACAATGCAGAAAATCGATTTTCCTTGGTGTAGTAGTAGCCTTCAAAGGATCTGCATGTATTTACAATTCATTTGTGTGTGTGTGTTTCTATTTTGATCCAATATGCACTTTCCTTGTTTAACTGTCATTATATATGTTTTATGTGTACATATATATTGCAGCATCAATCCCTGATTCAGTTAAAGCCGAGCTGTTTCAAAGAATACGCACTTTTCTCATCTCAACATCACTTTGATGGTTGGGGTGCATATTGATGATCGAATGCTTCATTTTTTTAACATGTATTTGTTTCTCCATGGGTGGCTTAATGTTGATTTAGAAGTTTGGTGTGTGGGGCAGGGAGGGAGGGAAAAGAGGCACCTTGTGATCATATTTCTCTGCGCTGCGTGCGGTTGTAATTTATGTATTGCAAGTAAACAAAGCGTGTGATTTTGCGACTGTTTTATTCAAAAACATAGGTAGGAACTTGATTCTACTCCATTAATTAAGATGATGAAGACGGTGATTTGATGCTTATAATTCATTTAACACCCAGCCGCCCTTGAATAGCTGAAACCTGAAAAATGATGGCGGCCATACCCCCGTAGTTCTTCATATTGTAGGTAATGATGAAACTACAGTATCTTCTTGTTGTAATTTTTTAGACCAACTTTGCTTTTTACATGTTTAGCAAGTGTGTATGTGTAATTCCTTCACTTTTGTTTTTATGTCCATATTTTATGTTAGTAATCTCAATTTGTAGCCAACTTTGGTGCTATTTGGTACGAAAAATATGTTTTTCTAGTTAGTTTCGAATTAGCTTTAGACTTTATAAAGAGCAACTCATAATATGTATGAATCTAATATATAAATGAAGGGGGGTGGGGTTACAAATTTTTTTTTTTGAGGGGTCTTTGAATATGGTGATGTGTGCTGAGTCGAGAGGCTGTTCGTGATATACGTGCGTCGGTCATGAGGGGTTGATCAAGTGTTTCCATGCAACGGCTCTCGTCCGCGCGGCGCAGGGATGATACCGGTCTCCAAGGTGTAAACACGCCGTTCCGTGAGGTTGGTCGTGATGTAAGGATGGTCTCACGGCCCTCGGCCGCGATGGTCTCCTCTGGGACATCGGCTCCTAGTGTGGAGATGTTCGTCTCACGGTTATTGCCCGCGACGGTCTTCTCCTGGCCCTCGGCCTCTTGGGGAAGTACGAACGTCTCGCGGCCCCTTTCTTTAGCCGGTTTGGAACGTCTTCGGAACTCATGCCGAGCGTCATTTATTCTTCTGCTCGGGCGCATTGTGCGACCTTGACTGCATAACTAAAATGGTAACGGGCCGTTCGGCCCGACAATATATATACACCTATAGCCATCCACGTGGCTTTATTCTTTTTCCAACGCTCGCGATTGCCGGCCTATGGGTTATTGTGACCCTCGGCCTGGCTCATCGTGCGGGGTTATGGCCGTCCGGGGCGGGGCCACTTAGTGGCTTGCTGCACGTCGCATAGAAAAATACTGGTCCGTGAGTTCGAAAACTCAGACCTACGTTGCCGCTCAGCCCTCGAAAAAATGAGGTTGAGCATCTTTGGTGCCCTCGGGCCCCATAGGTCGTGTTTGGCAACAGTCACTTCGCGCCTGGTGGCGCAGATGGTACTAGGGTACGATCGTCGCTCGGGCCATTGGTGACGTGCGGACCAATGCGTAACCCCCAAATTAAAACGTGTCATCGGGGCAGAGCCCTCTGGAGACGCTCGGATCGCTAATTAAGCTGATCGTGAGTGGGCCAACGAACCCACAAAAATTAAGTATTCACTAAAATGTTGGCTGAACTAACCATCACTAGAGCTTTGCTTTGCACTATTTAATTCGGGACATTTTTATCCATAATAAATAATCGTGATGTAACAGATAATAATACTGAATTATCCTATCATAGGCCATTCAGATATGCTCGGATCGCTAATTAAAGCCGATCAGGAGCGGGCCGATAGGCCCACCACAACCAGTCACTAACTTTAAATGACGGTGATGATAATTATCACTAGAGCTTTACCCATTCGAGTTTTGCCCGACATTATTTAATTTCGGGATATTTTAATCCCTATTAAAAGATGGTGATAACCAATCTTATCAATAATATATTCTTGTGAATTACTTAAAGTGTAGAGAAGGTGACTTAGTTTTGGACGAGCTGAACTTGGCAGATTGCTGAAAAGCCCAATGAAGCTTCCCTTGGATTTAAATGTGATCGGCCCAATGTTCTAACTCATATCCCACTTTGCAAAAGCATGGAAGTGTGGAACCCACCACTTTAGTCTAGAACCTGCCGGCTTCTTCCTTCCTTGTAGCAACTAGAGGAGACTATTCCGCGCCAGACCTTCTGCGGCAAAATCCCATGGGGCCGAGCGGCCTCCAACCAGCGCGGTCATCGTCACAGAGCCCGTGCAGCCGTCTAGGGATGGGGCCGTGCTAGGAAACGGGCGTCCAACCTCCCAGCGCACCCAAATACGTCCCAAGGTTGAGTGATTTGAGGGCTCGGGGGCCGGCGGCGGAAGACGAGCGGGTGAAGACGATCGTGGTGAAGACGCTCGTGGTGACCCGCGACGTGCTATATAAGAAGACGTCCGGCGCGGTGCAATTGGTTAGGCGTTCCCCTGTGGCACTTGCTCGTTTGACTAAGAAACTCGGCCTCCCACGGAGTCTTTTTTGCTAGCCTTCACCAACTTTTGAAATTGGTCTGAGCGGCCTCCAGAATTCAGGATGGCCAGTCCACGAGGGGCCCGAGTTGTTTTGGGGACGAACGGTGTTGACCGCCGGGTGACGTTATAGGAATGGGTGGCAGCTTCACCGGTCGGCCAGTGATCCGGACGGCGTTGAGCGGCTTTGGAAACCGGGCGGCCAGCTCACTCGGTCCTGCCTGTCGCCTGAGTTTCGTTGAGAACCGAGCGGTTTCTTGAGAAACCGTCCGGGGGAATTCCAACTTTCAATCCCCGTGACGCTGGGTGAAGACTAAGTCCTGTCCTCTGGCCTCGTTTTCGATCTGGCTGATTAGAATCCGGTCTGACTACTCCCCAAATACCCGGCACCGTGCGGCAGACATGGGCTGACTGTTTACTGTTTACCGGGCTGTCAAGGGCATCTCAACCTGTGAGAGCCTTAGTTTGAGTTATTTTGTTGGCCGGGGTAAGTGGATGGTGTGCGGGGCTGTGAGGTTGTGTTCTTCCGATCTATATCTGAAGATGCTGTATTTTCCCAAGATCCTTTCAGCCGAACGGTGGTTAGGCACAATCTGAGGCCGGCGCAGTTGTTTGGACGGCGGTATGTCTACATGCCGTTCGGTGAAAGAAGACCCTCGCTGTTTGAGTGCTTTAGAAACTGGGGGGTTCGTGTGATAATCCCGCACGGCGCAGGGGACTTGCAGTGCAATTGAGGTCCTTCGCGTTTGGACGAACTTCCCCCAAGTCAAGGCGATCACAACACGCTCCCTCCGTTTAGAAAGAAGGCAACGTGCATAAGAAAACGCTCCAAACCAGCCACCTTGGTCCATGGACGGCCTTTGGTCGCTACTCGGTCGCCAACCGGCGAAAGTACTGGGACGAGCGTCACTTAAACAATTTTCCGTGCGTCCTATTTTTTTTTTTTTGTATGGAATAGATTCTCTGATGGTATGGCTGTTGGCCCACATGTGACGTGGCTGTCTTTTCTTTACACAACATCACACGTTGCAGCAGACAGGAGAGGCGTGGTCTTCCATCTCCTGCCCACTGAAGAGAAGCATGAAGAGACATGGAGAGGAGGCATGGGTTGTAGCATGGGTATCAATGAATATGTCTCCAGCCTTGCCTATAAATAGAGTACTCTTCCATTGTTCAAATGCATCAAAAATCGGAGAGAAAAGTAGTGAGAGTGATACACATATAGTGAGTGTATGAAAGGGTTGGTTTTTTTTAATAGTTGAGTGAGAGAGTTGCTCCTCCTATTGTAATTCTGTTCTGGTTATGAATAGAAGAATTTTCCGATCCTAACAAGTGGTATCAGAGCCAGTTTAGTCCAGAAATCCAGATTTCACAATTTTACTCGAATTTTTGGTCAAAATATTTTTGTTCCAGAATCTTGTTTTGAGAATACCATTAAAAAGCTCTCGTTTTGAGGATTCCAAAAATATATTTTTCATAATTTTTTGAGCACCGGAAGGCCTCCAAACGTCCGGTCAAAGTTTCTCTCTCCTGCCAGTCAAGCCACTGCAGTACTCCAGTCCGGCAGCAACCTCGCCGGAGAAGACGACCAGTCATCTAGCCACGTCATCACCAGGTCACGCCACGTCATCGACACGTCAGCGCCAAGTCATCTGCCACGTCATCGACGACCGGCCGATTGGACCACCTGTCGGTGCCATGTCAGCTGCCACGTCATGGACACGTCACTGCCATGTGGTGCCATGACATCAGCCTGATTGGCTGCCCTCTGGTTTTGGCCAGAACCGGTCTGGTTCGGCTCGTGGTTCAACACTCCGGTTCACACACTTTCTGCCCGGTTCTTGAAGAGGTGAGACCGGTTCCCACCATTTTTGGCCATTCCGGATTCAACGGTGTGCTCCGTTGGGCCTAATTCAGCTTCCAAATTAAGGTACGGGAAAAATTGTACACTTTATCATGGAAAAATCATCATCGGATACCATGATTGCGCTAACTTCCACGAATTACAACATGTGGAAACCTCGGATGGAGGATTTGCTAAATTTGAAAGATTTAGCTGGTCCTCTTGATAATAATGGCGTTAAACCAAATAAAAAGACGGATGAAGAATGGGCTAAGATGAACAGAAAAACTGTCGCACAAATCCGACAGTGGATTGATCATAGCGTGTTTCATCATGTTTCTCAAGAGCAAAGTGCTCACACACTATGGGAGAAACTTAGTAGCATGTACCAAGCCAAAACTGCTCGGAATAAAACGCTGTTGATGAGACGATTAGTGAACCACAAGTTACGTGGTGGCATTTCTGTGTCGGAACACACGAGTCAGTTCCAGGATCTTGTGAACCAATTGAGCACCACTGGATGGGTCCTCAAAGATGAAGAACAAGCAATACTTTTACTTAGCTCTCTACCTGATAATTGGGAGACTCTTGTTGTTACTCTCAGTAATTCTGCCCCAAATGGTACCGTGACTATGCAGATGGTCACGGACGCCTTGATGAATGAGGAAGCACGAAGGAAGGAAGCTGGGACTGATCAGTCTTATGCTCTCGTCTCAAAAATCAGCAGGCGAGGGGGAGGCAGAAATGGAGGTAGAGGACGAGGTCGAGGCAGAGGCAGAGCTCGAGGTCAAAGTAGAGGGAGATCTCAAATTCGAGGAAGATCACAAGAGCGGGGGAAGTCCGTCGATACCAATACTTGGTTCGAGGGCTATTGCAACCATTGTGGTCATTATGGGCACAGAAAGAGGGAATGACGAAAGTTTCTACGGGAGCAGCCTCAGACGAGTCAAAGTTCAAGCAAAGAAGATGGTGAGACCATGGTCACCATGGCACCAGACATTGCACTTGTTACTTGCGGAGAAGAAGCATGCCTACATGTAGGTACGCATGATATTGAATGGGTGATTGATACCGCTGCATCATTTCACGCCACTCCGCACCTAAATTTATTTGCAACTTATAATCCCGGAGACCATGGTGCTGTAAAGATGGGAAATACAAGTTTCTCAAACATTGTTGGCATTGGAGATGTGCACATTCAAACAAGTGTTGGTTGCACACTTGTGTTGAAAGATGTTCGACATGTTCCAGATC